GACTCCACTCTCAATCATCTGAGCCTCATCCAGACATACACGCCACCATGAGAGGCGAATGAGGGGTGTCCTCCTCTGTTCAAATCGCTTTTCGTGCCGTAGAGCTCGCTGTGGAGCTTCATTCGCATAGTAAATTTCTTTCGCGATGACATTGTAGGTGGTCAGAACAACATCGGACTTGGCAAGCTCTTTGACCATCATATCGTCAGTTGCTTCTCTCCAATGCTTGATGCCAGTGTAATGATGAACACGAAGAGTGGGAGCATGATCTTTCAACTCTTGTTTCCATTGTTCAAGAATCGCGGGTGGTGTGATGATCAAAGTGGCACCAATATGTTTCAACCCGTCGGGATCAGCTTCGACATGTTCTTCTCGCTTATTCAGACTTATCAACGCAATCACTTCGACTGTTTTGCCCAGCCCCATTTCCTCTGCCAGTATTCCGCCTTTCAGATTATCTGCGGCATCGCGCCACTCGGAAAGATCCGTTGTCAGAACCATGAAAAGATGACTGAAGTAGTAGACCTGTCCATCGGCATCTCTTGTGGAATTGAAAGACACTGGAAGGTCACTTTTTGGACGTTCTCTAACGGGAATTATTTCACCGTTTGGCCCGACTTCTCTTCCTTCTCTTTGTAAAAGCCAGCGAACAGCTCTTCTCTGGAATGGGAATAGCTTGCATTTCAAATCAGGGCATATGATATTAGTCGAACTTTCCGTAGCCTTGGGAACGTGAACATTCTTGTAGAATTCTCGGGGAGACCATTTTTGGACGGTTCCGAGCATTTCATCGCGTGATTTGCGCAGGTCTGTCAACACAGACGGGCGAACACATTTTTCCTGCAGCACATATCTTGTAAAGGCTTCCAGGTCTGCTTTCCCCAAGCGGTTCAAACCCGGTGCTTTAATAGAATCCCTCCAAAGAACAACCGTCTCGAGAGTAAAGCTTGCTCCATCTGGTAAGGCACGTAGGTGCGCCTGGTAGCAGGAAGTAGGTACATCTTTGAAGAACTGATCCACGTGAGCAAGTTTGCTGGCGGCCTGAAGTTCCCTGAGGAGATCAAATAGCCTCAAATCCTTGCACGGATATAATAGCAATTTTTCTTCATCGAGACTAGATAGTTCCAGCTCCATACAATTGGGACCGCCATCGGCCGACTCTGGCTGTGGCGTAGTGTCCGGATCTTCATCGAGAAACTGAACGCTTCGAACATTTATGAGTATTGGAACGCGGGAGGTGGAGAAATTTGGGGCGTGAGGCCTTTTGTATTCGTGCCTGCTGGGTTTCTGCAGAGGGTAACGGATTAGTTGTTTTGCTTCAGAGCGGGATGTGGCAAACTACTATGCAGATTGTCAACCGTGCTAATGGAATGTAGCCCAGAGGTACTCCTGTCATCGACACCCCATTTTCTTGTGTCAGACTCCTTGAGCCGCCCCGCTTGGTCGTCTTGCGCCGCTTGGTGGGACGGTCATCGCATTGCTGGAAGAGGGGGTATAGAGACTCGAGAGTCGCGTCTAGAATAACAATATGTCAGTGCTTTGATTTCGTCAAGACAACCAGGAAACATGATTGATACCTGGTAGTGTGATATCTTCTGCAACGACACTCATTTTGAAGACACAGCCTATCCTGTCGCCACAATGAAGCGTTGACAAGAAGAGAGAACTTTACATATGTATCGGATAATGCCTGGCACTTGAGACCTTTCCCCTTCCATTTTAGTGCTCACCTCTTGCCGCTTTTTGATCACTGAGTAAAACTGAGCACGTCTCTGAGTATCCTGACTTGATCACGAGCCATTACATAATCAACTGATCTGCTCACTGAGCATCACCTGATCATCCCGTGAGCACCCTGATCCACTCACTGGTCATCATCTGAGCACTGTGATTTGATCACTGAGTGCTCACCGACCGACAGCTGGTCGAATGTAACATTCGATCAGCTGTAAGCCCAGTGCTCACTGAGTGTACTATTATTGTCGCGCCGGCGACCTAAGCCTTCCTCAGTCGGACACTTGCACCTGCCTCATTCCTCGAGGAAAGAGCGCCCGGTACACCTGGCCACAACAGCTCCCACCCCGTAAGTACTAACACTCTTACAAAACACCACTTCTACAGAGCACCGCTGACAGAAACATGAGCGATCCAGACGCAGACCGCGCCGCTATGCCGCCGCCACCATCCCCCGTGAGAGACCGCCAGCGCCGCGAGCCCCGCTCGCCCAAAACTCCCCAAACCCCTACTAGGGCGATTTCATTGCCAGCATCGGAGTCGTCAAGATCCGCTTCACAAGCCTGGAGTCACAGTTCTGGCGTACTCTCGGTCGCCACTAAACTGGAGCTCATTCGAATTTCAGGAAAAAACTGTTGGGCCTGCACCTCGGCCGACCCCCAAGCCTGCCATGTGTTCGGAAAAAGAGACACCCAAGTGAGTGTCGCTGGCGCTAACTACTCGAGTAGTATGTGGCCAACAATTACTGTGTAGGACAACCTCTGGGCCCACTTGGGCCTTATCAACTATTCCCTCAGGTCATTATCAAACGCGATTCTGCTCTGTGGCTCGTGTCATGGGCAATTTGTTAGAGATAATGACCCGGGTTTCCTTCTTGTTCCGACTGACTTGGATTTCTTTATCGAATTTGAGAAAGCCGACAGAATCCGAAGACAGGCGGGTAGATGGCCTCCCGGCCGACAAATGCCAACAAGTGGCATGTACAAAGAACACCTCGAGAGCTCGGGCAAGGGGGATGCGGGGTATACCCCAATGTTTCTGAAACATTACCTACTTGCAGGGTCTGGAGTGACCCCTGAAATGCTCCGATTGACAGCACCCAAGTACTGGCAAGGGGCACCGGCCGCAGCACTGCGGCGCTGCATCATGGCCCTCGGGAGTGGCAGAATCGTGGCTCTCGGCCACCAAGTTACACAACTTGAGACGCTGAGAAATCTTTATTTCTCTCCCATTGAAGGAGCGTCGGCAATCAATGTCCATAGTTGCGATCTGGAGCCCCAGCTAGACCCTCCACAGTTCCAAGATCAACCGGCCCAAAACCCTGATTTGGAAGAACCCAAATCCGAACCAGACTCCGAAGACCAAGACTCTGACCCCGAGTCCGACCATGATACCTACGGGCCCCACTCAAAAGATCCGGATTTCAATCCAAACAGACGGCATGATAACCGGAAGCGACAGGGAAAGGGTAGGAACCAGCAGGGCTCTAGGAAACAGGCGAAGCATGCACCAGGTGCGACCAGAACCAATGCTACCGGGGAGAATTGGGCCTTAGGCCCCAGCGCAACAACGCAGGATGCCATATTGCGCTATTCTCCAATCTTCGCCCGCGGATAGAGCCATCCGCCTCCCTCCTCCCTCCCACAGTCATCCGCCTCCCTCTCACTGCCATCCGCCTCCCAATGTCATCTGCGCACCTAATGTCATCCGCAGCCCACTGTCATCCACCTCCCACTGTCAGCCGTCTCCCACTGGTATACGCAGCCCCTGTTATCCATATCACAATATTATCCGCAGTCTATGTTGTCCGCAGCCCATGTTATCCGCAGCCTATGTTATCCAGACGGATTTCTGACTTGCTTTTTGCTAGTTGATCTCATGGGAATGAGTATGAGCAGTGGTCAGGCTTCAAATTGAATTTGTTTCGGGGCAGACTAGTGTCTACCCCGCACTTTTTGCAAGTGGAGAACATACTTGTAACTTAGTAAATTATACTAATTGGAACCCTAAACCACTGTATCACCGTCGGATCGGAACTGACCGATAAGAAGGTCAAGCAGCCGAGGCCGTCGCGTTGATAACTCCCTCTTTCATTCCTGTGTTGTAAATTAGGAACAAGCTCACCAGTTCGGAGGATAGTATCACGGGCTGCTGCCCGAAGTGACTCAAGTGAAGTCACGACTATTCCGTGCCTGAGGCACCCAGGAGAATACAGCCGGACGATACCTGAGGCGGAAGACACCTGAGGCATGCGGAAGGATGCGGCCGGATTATATAACAGACGGCTGTGTAACTAACTAACTAACTAGTTATGATGATCATAAATGTATAAGGTAAAAGGCGCTTGGATAGAAGACATGTTGATTATTACATGCTAATGCTGCCATACGGTTTACTTTTATATCTGAGATCTTAAGCTCGAGCCGCTCTGGATTGAAAGGAAGATGGAAGCAATACCATGAAATGGATGGCGCTCTCTACTCCGCCCTGCGCCCTTTCGTCATGACGTATGTCCTTGATAAGATGTAGTACTCCAAAAATTGAGGGCAGCAGCAATGCTATCAACGAACTAAGTATCATAGTATAGACGACCCTGTGGGGACTAATCCCTTCTGGGTATAGTCTGGGTTGGGCTGAGTATATCAGTGTTGCTCACTGATTGGACACTGAGTATCACTGAGTATGATCACTGATCTGAGTCCGTGCTGACATCTACTCAGTGAGCCTGAGCCTGAGCACCCTTATAAAAGCGGCGGCAGATCAAATAGGAAAGCCCCACACGCTAGGGAAAATCCGGTACGTATAGGTATATATGGGGCTCATCTTATCGCAATCACGGGAAGATAAGACCTGTGGACCAGGAGCAAACCTTATCGTCGGTTAAACATAACTCCGACTCAATGAAGTATAGGATGACTAAGCGGCCATGTGATCCATTTAAAAGCATTCTTGATACTAGGTAGTCACCCTATGGTGTTTACTCCTAGTGATGACTCTGCTCTTACACCTGTTTCGCTGTCGGTGCCCCCGCTGTTCCCGTTGCAGAGTCCCCTCTTCACTATTTAGTTAATTAGAGATCACCTAATCTATCATAAGTGCTGAACGTGGAAGGACTGTGTTGGACTAATACTAGAAATTGGCAGGTGTAGTGTAGGCTGAAAAGGTAAAATGGATGTAATTGTTAAGATGAGCGAAAAGTTTATAGATTAATCCACCGTGAGCAACAGTGCAAGATCCTCCTATCCTCATTTTTGACGAGGACACGGTCATTCAAAATTTCGGAACCTTGGAATCGGACGAGGCTTCGCAACCTTTTCGTACATTCCCATAAACCGCAAAAGAGTCTCCTCCTCGTCCGCCTGGGCCACTAGACATAAACCGAACGGCCGGTCATTATAGCGAAGCTGGCCTACCGGGACTGTTGCGATAGGATACCCTGATCTTATTAGCAACGATGATTCAAATGGACGCTTGATGAGCTATTACCTGCAGCAGATGCATAACGACATAACGGGGAGTCTCCCGGAGCTGCCAGGATATTGATTTTCTCCTTGTCAAATAGGTCATCCAGAATGTCTCTCGCGGCCTTACGAAGGTCGTTTTTCAGTTCATCCACTTTTCCTTCTTCTTCAGTAGTGTTCATTGCCCCTTCCAAATCATTCTGCTCGACAAATGCTGTGTTGTATTAGTAGCTATCCACTGTAGGATCGTGTCCTTTCGTCAACTTACGAGCTGGAAGGGCTTTTCCGCTGTTTTCGTTGTTGAACTTCACGATATCTGCAACGCTTGTTACAGAGCACTCATCAAATGAGCGAATAAATCTAGGGATGCAGATATTCTTGAAGTCCCAATCTAGAAGTGGTTAGCCATCCTAACTTCCTCCGATACTGGAGCAACCCACATGCAATTGGCAATATAGTATTCGGTAAGACCGAGGGATCCTTGCAATGGATTGGGTATTTAACTGGACAGCCTCCGCTTCGTAGAGCGGAAACTGTCTCTTCATACTCGTCTACCTGAAGGCAACTGTTAGAGCCCTGGACATTGTGATAAAACAAGAGTGACGTACCATTTGCTCTGCTGTACCCTCGTATTGCTTACAATAGTCCGGTGACATGCACCAAATTTTTGGGTCCAGGAAGCTCACAGAAAGACCTTCCCAGAAGCCTGAATGAGGGGAGTTCAACGAGTGGCCGAGTAGAATTTCAGAAAGAACGCGAACATCAGCTGCTGATTTTGCCATAGGACCCGGACTGTCGAAGAACTCCGTCATGGTATATAATCCAGTAGTATCCTGGACTCCGGTAGTAGGCTTGAGTGAATACAGACCGGCGCGTGTTGACGGAGTCACGATGGAACCTATGGTCTCTGTGGCCATGGCAAGAGGACTAAACCCAGCGGCTACAGCGACCGCAGAGCCAGTGGATGAGCCCCCGGGAGTCTGCTTAGTATTAGCACAAAAGAATGGCATCTTTGATTTCCTCTACTCACTGAGTGGCCAAGTATCTTCTCATTATCCCCTATCTTCCCAACATACGGCGACAGAGTCTGACCACCGTGAGCAGACCAACCGGGCATCATCATGGTCATTTTCATACCAGCAAATTCCTAGAACAACGTCAATCCAATAAACTTCCTTATTAAACCGAACATATACTAACAGTCATGTTAGCCTTTCCCAAAATAATCAAGCCAGCATCAATCAGCCGCTGAGTGATAGCTCCGTTCTTTGACGCCTTGGCTCCGACGAACGCATATGACCCAGCTGTGGTGCTCATGCCAAGCTCCGATGCTGTGACAAAGCAATCTTTCAGAACTATGGGAATTCCATGAAAAGAACCCCGGGTTTGTCCTTTCTGGCGCTCCTCATCACGAGCCTTGGCGGTTGCGAAAACTTTGTCCCGTGGGGCAGGAGAGATTAGCGCATTGAGTGCAGGCTCATAGCGATCTATTTGTGTCAAATACTCTTCCACAATCTGAGCGCTCGTGGTCTTGTTCTCTTCGAGTAGACGCTGCAGGTCGACCGCATTGGTCGTGAGGACATTGAAGGTCATTTCTGCGCTGGGGAACTTGAGATTCAGGTGAGGGGTAAAATTAGTTACTAGTGCCTTTGTTGGTGATATTCATTTTAGCATAGTGTGAGCACGTATATATAGATACTGCTGCCTGATTGCGGAGCGAAGCGAAGCAATTATATCCCAGTATTTATTCTAGTAGCCTAAGGGTAGTTACTGATAACATATGACTACTTCGAGATTCCGAAACGTTCACCCGTTGTCACCGATGGAGGCAACATCTTTGTATCAAAGCCGCTTGAGAAAGCAACTCATCTAGCTCCCACATTGTAGCCTGCAACTGTGTGGATAGCAAGTGGTGGAACTTAGTGGCTAAAGTAGGACACAGCAATTGATCAAGTCCCAGGCACCAGAAATGGGACTGGAATTTTCTTTCAACATACTAGTAGGGATCTTTCGATCTGAGGCGCTGGCCCCGCACGGGAGCCCGATGGACGACACCTTGAGGATCGTTGAATTTACATTAACTAGTTAATTGAGTATCATTGACAGACTACACATAGAATATGAGGACCTGTAGAATTGACGACGAAAATGACCGCTTTCAACGCTAGAAAAGGATACGATTGTCACGCCGCTTGACCAAAAATTTCTCTCGTGTCTGATCAGATATATAAGACCTTTTGATGCCTAGAGTCAGTGCCAATACAACCAAATCAGGAAATAATAGGATATTTGAGCAGGTACCAGATGAAAGGAAGTTGAATATAGACTCGAAAATTAGCCCGCTACGTAACTGCATACATGGAGCAACCAACTAGGAACTCGCCTAGATATTACTCCGTAAATTGGCGAATCCAAAACCAGAATATGCAGTCACAATTAGATAAGAATCTTGAAAATATGTTACTATTCCTGTCTATGAACCATAATAACCGGTTGGGGCAGTAATGAGTATGACGATTAAGAATGACGTCGTGCTATGTTAGACAGCGTTCAACCTCAACATAAATAGTGCCTGTTTCCGGCGATATAGAACTTTTCCTATACTCAGCAAACCAAGCAAAACTTACTACAATCTTAACCCAATTTTTATCTTCTAATCTTCTATCTTCAATATGGATACCGTCAAGGTTGGTGGATTTTCTCACACCTACCCTAACACAAACTCACATGGATACAGAACGCCGCCAACTATGTTGCCGAGACCGTGCAGGGAACTGGCGCTGAGGCTTCCAAGGAGACCAACAAGCAAGTCGCAAAGGATGACGATGCCAAGCTGAGCACTCGTGCCGCCGCTGCGAAGGATGCTCTTGTCGACAAGAAGGACGAGAAGTCTCACGATGTTAAGGCCGATGTTCACAAGGGTAAGTTCATACACCTGATACCTCCATAGTCAGTTACTTACAATTTTGCAGAACAAGTTAAGCATCAAAACTAAGGGATATTGTTTGGTATGGGTCGATGTTACAGTACCAATTGCTCTCCCCTAATCCCGCGGGTCGGGTACGAGGCATATGTTCATAGTAGTAGAAGAATACGCTTGTTTTTGAGTGGAGGATGCTGTTCCGCCAATCACATTAAATGAACACCCTACTTATTTCATTTCAACGAATTGGTGCTTTAATAACCGGCTGCAAGTTATTTTCTTGCCCGAACTTCAGCTTTCACCACTATAGGATTTATACTATTTGTACTAGGTGTCTATTCTTATTTATTCTACTGATAGCTTGGAAAGCATGGTTGAAGATGCATGTCGGCAGTTGATCGTTTACCAATATAATTCTCTTCAAACAGTCTTCACACAATATATTTCTATGTGTTGCGGGCTTATTGCTCGCGTCTTAAAATCTATATCGATGATACCTATTTTGAATTCGGCTTATTATTTCGCGAGTGAAACTCACGTTCCTAGGATTATATCCGGCCCAAGGATCTATAGTATGGTTTCTAGGCACGCTCTTGGTCGTTCCTAGGAATCAAACTCGTAGTATTTCTAGAATGTACGATCATTGGATCGCACATCTTAAAGATCGATCGATTAGTGGTCATCTGGACAAGTAGGATAGCTTATGACATAATGTCTATAACGGCCTTTCAGTATCCCTTGGCAGTTATATGGTTCGATGACATCATGGAAAAATCCGATCTACCGCCAAGAGCCATCGGGCTGCAGAAACTCCCATTGGACACTGCCTTGGAAATCACCTCGGGCTCTCTTGCTGTGTACCGAATTTGATATTATTTCTAACCCCTTAGAAAGATGTTCTCCTCCAAGCGCCTGTCCGCTGGATTTTCACTATGGCCGCGCTCGAAGGTGCTGCTGTCCAGTCACACTATAGATTGGCCCAGGAACGGGAATTCTACAAGTAAGACCTTTTTCATCCTGGATCGCGTCTCCTTGTCCTCCACAGGTGATACAGATGACTGACTGATATGGCATTGGGCAGATATGTTCCGCGCGAACTTTCCGTATCGCATTATGCCCCCTTCGACCATGCCAGCGAGAAAACATTCATCCCGCAACCGTCGCGGGATTCGGCCATGACCTCCTTCGCTCAGCTAGGCGCCATGCGTCTAGGCACCCGACGAGCCATGATTTCTCTATTCGATAAAACCCACCAACACGTCGTTGCAGAGGCAACTCGGACCTTGGGACTAATCGGTGGGAGAATCCGAGACGAACACGACCGGCTTCGGCTAGGTTGCTGTGTGCTCCCGAAAGAGAGGGGCATTTGCCAGCACGTTGAAGATTTACCCTCTAAGGAATATTCAGAAGCCGGCGAGGTCCTCGAATCTTGTTCGTTGGTTGTTTTGGATATGACGCAGGACGAACGGTTCAGGTCACATCAACTGCCGCACGCGTTGTCCGATGTGCGCTTCTATGCTGCAGTGCCTATCGTGAGCCCTAAAGGGTTCACGATTGGTGCCTATAGTGTGATGGACCATGAACCAAGGACCTCGGGCCCAGATCAACATGATCTGCAGTTTATGAAGGACATGGCTGCAACAATCATGGAACACCTGGCCATGGATCACTCTACTCGCAAAAGTCGCCAGGCGGAACGGATGATCCTCGGACTAGGAAGTTTCGTTGAGGGCAGGTCGACCCTTCGCGGATCGTGGCGGGAAGCCAATGCACAGTATGCCGCCTCCGAACAGTCCGGGGAGACCACCGAGGGTCAGTTGAATATTCAGCAACAGGGTCTGCAACAGGTCGCCAAGGAAAATAATGAGAAGGACCTTGCCATCCGCCAGCCGTCTAAGGTTCCTACCAATGTTTCCGCGCCCTCATCGAACAGTGATAGCAATACTCGAGGCAGACAACAGCCGAGCGTAGAGGTCAACAAAGCGGATGGGTCGGTTCGAAGCGTCCTTGCGGGCGAAAGTCTACAGGATGACTCTTTTCCGACCGGCGTCAAACACGTTTTCTCGCGCGCGGCCAACTTGATCAGGGAGTCGATTGGAGCCGATGGAGTCATGTTCCTCGATGCGAATAGCGAACGTTTTGGGAGTCTCGTCAAACATAGCCGGAAGGTCTCTGGCCCCAGCTCAAAAACTCCGACATCGAGTAGCGACGAAAGTACTGATTCTGCGTCTTCCCAACGCAACTATACCAAGGGTGACCAGAAGGGTGAGAAGAACAGAAATCTTGTGTCTGAATGCATGGGCTTTTCGAGCTCGAGGGTGTCGAGCATAAACGACCAGGCGAGGGCCGGTCAAGCAGTTGTGGTTCCAGAACCTCTGTTCAGCTCGTTGATCCGGCGATACCCCCACGGTAAGATCTTCACTTACAACGCCAATGGAATGGTTTCCGAAGATAGCGATCCCTCACGGAATCCGTCCGAGCCTGATCACGCCCCGACTTCCGGGGCGCCTCGCTCCAAAGACCAACTCCTCGCCAGTAAACGGCGACGCAAGCCAACATTCCAACAAGATGCCAATAGTCTGATAAAAATCTTCGGTGATGCTAGAAATATTCTGCTTCTACCCATATGGGACTCGGAAAGAAACCGATGGTATGCCGGAACACTGGTGTGGACGAACGATCCGGAGCGCAGTTTCACCATTGAAAATGAGCTCGTGTACATCTCTGCTTTTGTCAATAGTATCATGGCCGAAATTCGTCGACTCGACGTGGAGGTGGCGGACAAGGCTAAAACCAACCTTGTCAGCAGCATCACCCACGAGCTCCGGAACCCACTGCATGGAATCCTGGGCACGGCAGACATTCTGAGTGACACCGCCATGAATGCTCTGCAGCATGGTATGGTCCATACCATCGAGTCGTGTGGTCGCACCCTCCTAGATACCATCAACAGTCTGCTTGATCTCACGTTCATCGACAAGTATCAGAAGAAACGGTCTCGCATGGGTGGGAAGTCGGGAGAGAATCAATCGAGTTTACCGGCCAGTTCGACCAAGGGGGGTCGCGTGCAAAGCAAAGACCGCGGCGAGAATATTTCTTTCTCCCACGTCAAACTGGACGCGATTCTCGAAGAGGTCACGGAGTGTGTGTTCGCTGGATACAGCTTTTACAATCATCCCGAGGCGCCGCCTCCAGCCTTGGCCGACTTTTCCTCGCGGTGGGCTGGTCCAGCGAGCACGTCGGATCAGGTTGGCCCTCGGGCTAGCCAAGTCACGATCATTTTCGACATCCAGCCAGATACAGAATGGGACTTCTGGACACATGCTGGTGCTTGGCGTCGCATCCTGATGAATGTTTTCGGTAATGCGCTCAAGTACACACCCTCAGGCTACATCTACCTTGGGTTGAAGTCATCCCAGAGGGAAGCGCCGAAGGATCAAGGAGAGGAATTTGAGGTTACTCTTACAGTGAAGGACACTGGGAAGGGTATTGGGCCCGAATATTTGCAAAGCGACCTCTTCACTCCGTTTAAGCAAGAGGATTCACTTGCGTCTGGGAGCGGATTAGGACTGAGCATTGTTCGCCAGGCTGTTGGATTGCTCGGCGGCTCAATCGAAATTGAATCCACAAAGGGAGTTGGCACTCAGCTCTCGATTCGGACACCACTCACCCCGTCACCTGGTCCAGACACTTCGTCTACGTCTAGTTCACCACGGAAACATACTCAGGGAAAAACAATCGGACTCCTAGGGTTCGGGTCATCTCTCCGCTCTCAACGAGACACCGTCTTGTACTCATCTTTGGAGCGGCTGTGTCGGGACTGGTTTGATATGGAGGTGACAAGCGTATCTTCCCTAGAGGGCGAACACGTCTCCTTTGACTTTTACTTGGCTGTCCAGACGGAATTAGACTCTGAGCATGTTGAAGGAAGAAACCTGTTCGACTTCAAACCAGGTCTCACCAACGGGGATGGTCGCAGCTCACCGGTTGTGGTAATTTGTCAGTCCCCCGAGGAAGCACACAGAATGTTCGTTGCAGCCAAGAACCGGGGCGAAACACCTCTCTTCGAGTTTATTAGCCAGCCATGTGGACCCCGGAAACTGGCTCGGGCATTGGATATTTGTATAAAACGACAACTCGACCAACAATCTGGTCGGCCTAATACTGATGAGCCGACTCGCTGGGTAGAAATGCCCGAGTCCTCCTATCTACCATTAGACATTACAGCTTGTGATCCACCTAAAGATAGGATGAAGATTGGTAAGCGGCCAACAACGGAGACAATGCGCAGTCCAGAAAGTCAGATTTCTCGATCCCCGTCCCACAAGGGAAATTTGGAAGACGATGCACATGCCGCCCAGCCGACCTCGCCTTCTAAGGTAGAGGCGGAACCAGAGACTCCCGGACCATCCGTCCTTCTGGTTGATGATAATGATGTGAACCGCCAATTGCTTTGTGCCTACACAAAGAAGGACAATCATCATTATATGACAGCCAAGAACGGGGCAGAGGCAGTTGAAGTATATAAAGCACACCATGGAAAGTTTCGGGTTGTTATCATTGGTATGTTCAAAGTTCGAACTTTTCTTTCTTAAATTTGTTTGGTGCTGATGAATTAGACATCTCAATGCCCGTCATGGATGGCCTTGAAGCGTCCCGGCAAATACGTCGCTTAGAGAAAGAGTATCGAGCCAAGATGACTGAATCGGAACAACAAACAATGCCCCCCACAATCATCGCCGCTTTGACTGGGCTCGACAGTGTTGAAGCCCAGAAGGAGGCATTTGGTTCGGGCGTCGACACTTTCCTTGTCAAGCCAGTCAAACGCCCGGAGTTGCAGGCTATTCTACGGCGAATGAACGTAGAGTGAGCTAATTAGCACCACTTTATTTTGTGTCCTCCTCACTTAACTGCTTGAGGCTCAGGCCTTGATGCAAATACAGGCTGTTATCAAGCCGGGGGGAAAAGGTATTACACTAGCAGGCACCCTTTCGGAAAGATAATTCTAATGATCTAGTCTAGCTTTTCTCTCTATGAAGCGAAATTCGATTCCGCCAAGTCAAGAGTGACTAGACGTTACGAAGATCTCCACATTCCGCAAAGGCCTCGATCATTCATCTCGGAACCGACATTCTCAGCATTCTAGATATTTACCCAGAGTTTATCAATATTTTACAGCAACTTGTCAGTTATTCTTTCTCTACCAATTCCAATTCGAACACAAGTTCTCGAAATCCCACAACCATAACAACTAGAATGACTGTATAGATCTCACCGTCGGTTCAATCAACTCAAACCTGCCTTCCCTTGAAGCTAGTGACGACGGCGACAATATATTTGATTACAATGCTATCGTTAGTCTTTCAGTATCTAGAGAGGCAGAATAGAGAAGTAAGAGAAAGCGAGGAAGAGCGAAGTAGGGTTAATGGGGCGCTAACCCAAAAAAGGCAAAACTAACTTGAAAGGCAGTTTACATGGTCAATTTGATACTAACAAGATTAGATCAGCGCGTTGTCAATTCGAAATTGTCCTTAGAACCATTCCGTCACAAAAGAACCGTAATATCTCCGAGAAAGAGATTACCCCTCAGATTACAGCAAGAGGGATCTCAAAGAGCCGTAACCCTCTCATCCTGGCAAAACGGACAGGCAGTGAAGTACTCTGCCATGCCCACCTGGATCTGCCATTTCGCAAAACAAGACAGACAAGAGAAAGACTGAACGATACGAACCCTTGTGGATGCAGACTGGGGCAACCACCTCTGCGAGAGAAGGACGAGATCGGTAGCAAGGCCGGGGGTTTCTTCAAGCAGTTTCTCGAATCCCTTCTTCTCGCGCAGCTCCCTCCGGTGTATCTGACAAACCGCGACCACCACATCCCGAAGACCTCGATCCAACTTGGGTGTTGTTTTGTATGCCTGGAAAGCAGCAATCAAGAATTCAACCGAGTCCCAGTGATCTTGAGCGAGAGTGACGAATGTTAGCTTTGCTTGAACTTTGAGATATTCCACCTCGAATTTGTCGGCAATGGAGTATACTTTGACGTTGAACAACAGGGGGCACATTTGGTGCTCGGGTTCGTTGATGTCGTAGTGTAGTCCGTAGAAGGAGCGTATCATGGCTTCCACGACGCGTGGATGCTCGTCCTTGATTTCGAATACATGAGCCCCCTCGTCACTCTCCTGTATCATCAAAGTCAGCTGGGCGCGTGGATAATGAATGGCTTGGGCCTTGGGAAAACATACACTGGAAAGATCAGCGAAATGTCTGCAGAAAGTCTCAGATCTGCTGCAGACTACGATTCGGTGCACGCTCAAAACTTGGTCAGCGGTGTAGATTGTGAGATCGGAGAAGATGCCTGTACGGTGAAAACTGTCTTCTGTCAGTTCCCTCATTCATACAATGTGTAGACTCAAGAACTTACTTTCCAAGTCGATGGACAAACCGATCAGTACCCTCGACGCTGCTGGAAGTGAGTTCCATCGCAAAGGCGTGTTGTGGAAAGATTTGACGCGAAGGGAACGTGAAGGGAAATATGTGAAGAGGAAAGGTAATATTGGAAGGATTTAGACCTTTTAGGGTGACAACGATAAGTGGTGTGGCTTTTGAGCCTCAGCTTGCAACCTTCTAAAGGCAGGCACAGCTTGTTACTGTATCTATTTTAGACAAACAGCAACTCGAACCTACACGTCGTCGGCTACGGAGATTTACACCCCTCATGTATTCCGTGGGACTCGTCAAATGGCAATGAGAGCCACGACTTCAGGAACGTCCACGAGAAAGCCCGGTTTGTTGTTTGATGCAGACCTACATGGACCTCATACATATGGTAATGTCATGATCCCTGTGGTAGGTGAAGCAGCATGTGCTACGGGTCCCTCTGCCTGCGCTGTCTCGTGGGGGCTACGGTGAGATGGTGGTCAGAGAGATGGGGAGGAGAGAAGAAGAAGGGAAGAAGAAAAATGGGGGGAGGTGCCCTTTTATACTCCAAACCCATGTGCCTTCCTAACGTGCGACAGGTCCTCCCTATCAATGCCAATGTCACATGTCCACCTTCTTTGTTTGCATTTGTTTACATGCGGTCCCTTCAAGGTCCGGGAAGGAGCCATGGAGCCAATGTCGCATTATGTTAATTCCTTGTAGTGCGATTGTAAGTAAACACAATATCTGACAATGCACCTTCATATTATGCCATCGTCCCTAGTTTACAAGAGCCCCAGGTCCCTTTCCAAGTATAGCCCTCACACTGTCTCTCCCGGTATCTCCATAATCTTGCGGAGAAGAAGCCGAGGTCTTGCCATCAGGGTCGGTGTCATATACAACGGTACCATTGACTGCATGAACAGATCGGTAGTATGATCGCCCATCCATCTCACTTTCGAAGACATTGCTGGTGTCACCCCACGAGCTTGAGTTTCCACCAGTGACGGATTTATACTGCGCCGTGCCAGATTGACTTGTGTGCAGGTATGATGGCCCCGAGGTCAAAGTGTAAGTAGAAATACCGAGTCCTCCTGTTGCCTCGAAATCAAGACCTCTCTTCATCCAAGAGTCAATCGTCATCCCATTCGAGGTGATGCCATAAGTTGCATTGACAACCAGGGGGTACTGGAACGCAATGCTGTTTGAGATGTGCGTGTCTCCGAGCTCGGTGATGGTATTATTGCCAGTTGTAATTTGTCTGTTAAATTGACTGTATCCTTGCTGGTTGAGGAGACCGTGGTTGGAGAAGGATAGTGTCTGTGACCACGAGTACAGAGAAGAAGATGCAGTGAAAACACGCTCGACAACCACAGAGTATGATAAGGAATCGTTTCCCCCGGTCTCATTGTGGACAAGATTCCGAGTCACAGAAAACACAGGCAAGGGAGCATCCACTGTAGGCCCATTGTTGTCACGAGTGACAGTGCCCTTAGAGGCTGAGCTGTCGTCATCGATATATATGAAGATATTTCCTGTGACAACCCAATATGAGCCCACAGTGTTGGCAAATGTGGCGCTTCCATCTGCCGAGACATCCAGACCAGTCACCCGGATCTCAAACGAGTGCTGCTTTCCGTCTTGAATCATGGGGAGAAATGGGGAAATATCAATCTCCGGCTGTCGAAGATCAAAAGCATCAGTCCCAACAACCGGACGCCAGAATCCCGGAGCCACGCCTCCCGTAAAGACAATAGGGAATGGCCAGACAAGCCCGGCAAGGATCCCATCGATATAGAGCTGAACTTCACGAAAAGGAGTGTACCCATATAGCCCACCGACAGTGCTTTCAAAGTCTTGGGTATCTTCAGAAAAGACATTGGACCACCAGAACTCTTCTTCTGATTGCCCACATGCCGATATTGACACAACAGCACGCGATGCCGCAGCAGGGATCTCGTACATGACTGTTGTGTTGTCTGTGGGAAGCTGGAATGCACTTGGAGAGTTTGATGCCGACTTTTTGGCCGATATTGGAAGAATCATATCCGCAGTTTCGACATTATGCTCCTCAGAGAAGTGCGCGGTTAGCGTGGCATTGAACGAACCGGTATAAATGTCGTTGATGATATTTCCCAAGTCAAATATCAGCTTCTGGGGACTTTTCCATAGCGAATTATACTGTGACATCTCTTTGACATAAGTCCAGACGATCCCATTGATTGTCGGCTCTGCCGTTGAAGTCCGGAACACTTCATTGTCTCCGAGGTACATGAGTGCCAGGCGGTCAAATTGCTTCCCCCGGGAGGTGACTGTGAGATTGATTCGTACAGTATCAAAGTCGCAGTTTGGAGGCTCATAGACGCCTAAACAGTTGCAAGATTAGACTACAAGTAGAAGTAACTCTCGAGACCTCTTACCAACAAACGGTGCTCCATAACTAGCTCCAAAAACATGATCCATGAGCAATATCTCGACATCGCAGTCGCCGTTTCCGCTGGAATCGAGCGATATTGGCTGATAGAGCTGGAAAAACTCTTGCAACCCAGTAGAGCTAGGTGCCTGCGATGAAACGCCAGCAATGGACTGTAATCCGCTCCGGAGCGAGGAAGCCCATGGGAGATGCCCCAAAAGCAATAACCCACATATGGAGAACAGAACCATAATAGCTAGCAGTCCGAAGCTTGGATTTGCTCTTCGCAATTTGCTGCGGGTGTCGTTTACCCTTATTTTTAAATCGTGATAGCCAATAGACCGCACAGTGTCCGCAGTTGTGTAAGCTTCTTGGGGCTTCAATGTTTCTTGACTGCGTACCGACACCGAAGATCGACTCCAAGACCTGCGATGCGATTTAAAAACATTGAAAAATGCGACCGCAAGGCAGAAAAGAATAATAAATAACAACCATGCGGCTAGCCGGGTAAAACAATACTCCATTGGGAATTGGGGGTCCGTTAGCGGTTGAAACGAGTGCCCTGGAGGGACTAGCATGTTAGCTCCGCCCATGTGAGCCAGTCAGGATATTAGATTCTATCCAAGATGGTGCCAGGCTAAAGGCTATGTAACCTTGGAAGTGACTCTGGCGATGCACTATATGTAGGATGACGTTGCTGAAGATAAGATGCATAAAGAGGGGGGAAAGTGCGGCGGACTTCCGACGCAAGCCCAGGGCTAGCTATGTAACCCTAATATCACTATTCATACGGAGTAATGAACGGTTATCAGTCCGAATGTTAATAAACCTCAATGCTTCGACATTGACTGGTAATGTCATGGATATTTCTCGGGAGGTAAAGTCTTCAGGAAAGTTGGATTTTGCAAAATGATAACATTATTGGCTAATTTGACACTTAGGTAGACCATTGTAGTCATTTTTGAGTTGAGCAAATACAAATCTCGGCACAGCAGTCTATGGGAAGCTATATAGATGAAAATAATTGAATCCAACCCCAAGAATGACAGAATCTGGCCTCCACCAATCACATATGTTTACGGCTTTGGGGCATTCAACTTCTGGTTCATCAACACCCGCCACTGGGGCCCCCAGATGCGGAGAGAAAGGATGGCCGAAATACCCGTGAAAAACGCGATCAGAGCAATCATAGTGCACATCCATCCATTGCCGATCCCATTGAGCATGGGTTGAGTGACGACGGCTCCAGTGCATGCAAGGATATTTCGCACAAAATTTGCCACGGCAACACCGCTAGATGCTTTCTTGGGAGTGAACTCCGTCAGAGCGGTCTGCACAGTGCCCATGACAAGCATCATGCCGAGCCCGAAGCAGATAGAGGCGACACAAGGGACCGCCCACTGCACACCCTTTTCAGCGGACCAGCCGTACCAAATCAACGAGGCTGGATACAGTGTCAAAGCCAGCCAGATATTCTCTCTCATCCGGTCCTCGGGAAAGTACTTGAGCTTGCCGTTATCATCGTAGCGATTGGCCTTGGTTGCCTCACGAACCATGATGTGGTCGATCCAGCGACCACCAAAAATTGACGAGATGGCGTACCCGATTGTCGGTGCTAAATATACAAGACCCACCTCCAAAATGCTGAAATTGTAGGGGGCCTTGCCGAAGACGGCCTGGATGGAGACATTCATGATGTACATGGTAAAGAAGGCGATGACGCCAGACCAAATTACGACGATGACGGGCTGGAAGCGGAGCAGGGCCAACGCCTTGAACGGGCCAAAGATTGACATAAATATTTTGACGAAAATGCTGGTGTTCTTCTGCTTTTCGGTCTGCGGCTTTGGCTCACGCTTTGCGATCGTCTCCGGCAAACACAGGAAAATGAACATCAGCATCACACCGCCAAAGATGGTGAGAAACCAGAGGGTACTCCGCCAGCCGAGACCCTGAGTTAAAGCACCACCGATCACGGGCGCCAGACCGGGCCCGCAGAGAGGGCCCAGCTGGAAGACTCCCATAGCTTTGCCTCGTGCTTTCGGATCCCAGATATCGGCGACGGTTCCCGCGCCCATGGACAAGACGGAAGCTGCAGCTCCACCGCTTAGGACTCGGAAAACGATCAACATTGTGACGTTGACACTGACGGCACTGATGCAGGAGAAAGCCAAGAAGAGAAAAAAGGAGAGGAGATAGGTCGTTCGCCGTCCATGCTTCTCGGACAGTGCGGACCTATACTTCGTGGTTAACAAGGGTAGCTCTCATTTCTCAATTTGCAGGTCTACTTACCACCAGATAGGAGTGAAAGCCATGGCGAGCAAGTAGAGTGCCACCGACAAGTTCGCAACCGTCGGGGTCGTATCGAGGTCATGCGCTACCTCGGCCAGGGCCGCTATAATTTGGTCAATGGGTAATCATCCACAGGGAAATAAGCAATAGCACCCACGGAAGAAGATAGAGGAGCCCGTGGAGGAAGTAATGGCAGCGAAGCTGACAATCACAGTCACCACCCATTGGTTCCATTCCCATATTCACGCGGGTTGGTGATCTCAGGAATGACGGAGAATCGGCTCAGCAGGCCTCGCCGCTCCGAGCGAGGGACAACAACAATCTCTGGTCCTATAGTGCTCGCTGTTGGTTCCACTTTCCTTGGAGACTTGATGGGCTGAGTGGGCGGAGACTCTGTGGCAGACATTTCAAAATCGCGGTTGAGGTTGAGATTGTTGATGGCCACGCCAGAGTCCTTCCCGTCACCCGGCATTCTTCCGGTCAAAAGTGGAAATTGGTGAATAGTAGAGCTGGGCGGATGCCACGATGCTTATGCCCAGGTACATTGTGTGTACGGGTCCTTCGGGGAGATAGGCCATTTCCCAGGACAGCAAAGCCGAGCAAGAAAATGCCGGGGTGGACAAAGGCCAGACGATTTTAGACCATTAAAGAATGTGACCATGATGTACTCCGTGAACGGGAGAAAGCCAAAGGAAAAGAAACGAGGACGTTTAGCCAATTGGGACAGACGTTTGATGCCCGGGGCTCCGCTACACTAGTGAGCTTGGTGCGCCTATCACCGGGGCCGTGCAGATCCCTTACTTTAAGTATTCCCCGGGGCCCTCCACGCGGAAAATCAATACATTTGAAGTCGCGATACCGCTAAACACGGATTTTGTAGATGGTGACACATATTTCCAGAAAGGGAGACCGACAAGATATAAGAAGTGAAAGTAGTTGTGTGGGGATCAAGATCGTACTGATAACGAGCATCAGTGGCTTTCTCCATGGGGAATTCGGCCCGGAGATACTAACCAGAAAATGCCGAGCCGACCCTGCTGGGTACAAAAGGTGCCTAACACGTTCAATATTGATTGACTCTGAGATAACCCGACACGATGTCCGCTTCACGCCCCACGATCCTTCTCATCGGTGTTTCACGTGGCCTTGGCCACGCCATGGCGGTCGAATTCCTAGAAAAGGGATGGAATGTTGTCGGGACAGTCCGCGGAGAGTCGCGAAAATTACTCCACGAGCTAGAAGACAAGTACAACGGTCTGATTGACATCGAGACCTTGGACATTTGCCAACCCGATCAAATCCAGGCGCTAGACAAGCGTTTGTCGGGAAAGATATTCGATATCCTCTTTGTCAACGCTGGAACAACGAATCGTGACCAAACCCAAAAAATTGGCGATGTATCAACCGAGGAGTTTGTACATGTCATGGTTACGAATGCGCTCAGCCCCATGCGTGTCGTTGAACGTCTGGCACATCACGTGGCTCCGAATGGTCTTATTGGTGTGATGTCCTCTGGACAGGGAAGCATCAGCAACAATGAAACCGGTCAGCGAGAGGTATATCGTGGCACTAAAGCCGCGCTGAACATGTACATGCGAAGCTTTGCAGCTCGTCAGGCCCCATCGCGTCCAATGGTGGTGATGGCTCCAGGGTGGGTCAAAACCGAGCTGGGGGGTGCGGATGCTCGGCTTACCATCGAAGAAAGCATTCCCAGCTTGGTCAATGTACTTATTGCAAAGCAAGAACGACCTGGACTCGAATACCTCGACTACCTCGGCCGAACTGTTCCTTGGTGAAACATGATCACGTGGCTATATTAGCCTTCATTTTTGTTTTGGCCAGAGTCTCTCCTTCTTTTTCTTTCTTGTCCCTTCTTTAGATTTAGATTCTAAATCATATCCACCGTGTTTCTCGATCAGTACTCGCCAGAACACCAACCCATTATTTTACATCTAGATAGATCAATATAACACTAATTTAAAGGCTATACACAGAGAAGTCCTCTGACGGTTTATGCTTTTTATCGGTCTTATATATATTTAAGAAGACATCTACGAAGAGATTCAAAAAGATATTCACAAAGACTACTACAAGATACGTTCAATATGGCACGGTATATTCCTTATCAGTATCTTGTTCTTGCATCAACCCACTATTGACCTTTGGTCCTTGGAACGCTCTGAGCTCTTGTTTTGGAATCCGAGAATTCCGCTGGAGTCGTATAGGCTGCCAGAGTAGTTCTGTCGCCTTTTGTTGTTGTCTCTGAAAAGTTTGGGGGCCTTGGTTGCTTTGTGTTGGGTTCTGGGGCTGATACTGACGGGACTGGTATTGGGCTCCTGTGGCTTGGTACGGGCGCTGAGGAGTCTGAGCCTGGCCACGGGGTGCTGGAGCCTGTTGTTGTCTATATCCGGCCTGGTTTTGGGGTGGACTTTGATAGCCTTGACCTGGGGAACGGTTGTAGCCGTACGGGCGATGGTAGACAGTTCATCAAAACGCTTAGTGGCGACACATCTCTTGTCGTCACGCTTGAGGCAATCTGCCTTCAGACGAGTTTCTACGGCCCACTCGACTGCGAAGCGACGTTCTCGCATCGTGGGTACATTGTACTCTTGGTGTGTGCTCATTTAGATGTTCAAAGTGCTCTCAGTGTGTACTCAGTGTGCTCTCGCTGAGATTCTCAAACGTAATCTTAGTGTATGCTCGTTGAGATGCTCAATGTGCCCTCAACACGTGATCAGTGTCTTCGAGATGCTCGCGAGGCACGTGGGGACATGGTGGGTGTCGAGCGTAGTGTCCGCATTGGCGCAAGCAGACCGTTTACCAAGGACGCAGCATGATCGTGGATTTCTGGATTTGATTGTAAAGACTGGAGATGGCGGACGAAATTGACCCTATCATCTGGCGGAAGGTGAGTGTGGAAGGCTTGCAGAACTCATGCAGTGTTGTCGTTCTGACCAATTGGTTGGTAACTGTTTACTTTCTCCATCTTGCCAGTGATGTTGTTCTTAGAGAGATGCTGTTCTTAGATCCAGAGTCAACTGAAAGGAACCCAGAGAAGGTGACCGGAGCTCAAATGAGTGGGGCTGCCTATCTGGGTATAGCTCCCGCATTAGTTGCAGATCATGTGATATATAAAACATTCCGAATGCGGCCTTATCACGTAACCTTTTTTTCTATTTTTGGTCGTCTCTTTGGTCGCCTTTTATTGGTAACCTTCTTAAGTCTTCTTAGATGTATGAAGGCGGTGAAAAGCATAAGTGCTTAGCATTGTCTAAACCTATATACAGCAACATACATAGTACGGCCAGACGAGTAGAGAGTATAGTGTAAAAAAGAAAGAGAAGTTGTAAGACATCAAATGTCCTCTGTAAAGCAAGCTAAAAACAATCACTCCATATCCAATGCAGGCCTTTCTACCAATTCACATAAACAAGCGCCAGGCACCAAGAATAAGGGCCGCGGTACCGGTACAGACACCCCTAGAGAGAGAAAGAAAGTCAGCATAATCTCGCGCGGCAAGATAGTTCGGGGATCATACATGAGCCACTGCAACGTCGAGAACTTGACAGCCTCCACTCGTTCCCTTAATCCTGCAACCTCCTGTTCAATTCTCGTTTCAGTCTCCTTGATACGCATTTCCTGGCTATTTGCCTCCTCACGAATCCGACCCTTCTCAAGGTTCAGATCCAGCCGAACCGAAGCTTGTGTTCGTCCAATCTCATCCCGGAGCCGGGAGTTGAGTTTGGCGAGGTCTGCCGCGATCTTCTCGTGTGATGAACGGGTCAATTGTGCCTCGGTCGAGTCTGCGTTGAGTAGCTCCGAGCGCAGTTTGGCAAAGTCCACTTTTTGTGTATAAGTTGATCTCTCCGAGTCTAGCAAAGCGTTCCTCGTTAGATCTCCGACAGGCACAATAAATGATGCGCGACAGGAGCCTTCACATACCTTCTCGGAGAACCATTGTCCTGGTCAAATTCTGGATTGACTCTTGGATGATATCGTTCAATACCCGCATCATTGCTACGGACTGCTCCTCGCTGAAGCCCTCCGCCTGTAGGCGCTTCACGAATTTCAGGGTATCGAAGTGATGATCGCGGTGCTGGACTGCTGTCGCATGAAAGGCGCGGCGAGCAGGATGGTAGCTAGCCACATAGACACCGTTGTGTCGGATGGGATTGCCGCGGTGAGGTTTGGGCGTTGCCGGCGTGGTTATAGAGGTTCCGCGGGAAACAAGATATCCGGAGATGACATCCCGGGACGATGTGGTGATGAGCCGGGAAGATTCGAAAGGTGGGATTAGAGAATTAAATTGTCGCTTGGAAGGACTCCAGCCTTGGGGAAGTGGTCGTCGTTGACTTGTCGCAAGCGCGGGCTGGTGGGTGATGGTAATGGATGGACGCGAAGAGGAGCTGTTCCAACTCAGGCGGGGAAGGATATTGCGCGGGACATCCGCGACATGTTTTTGAGACGCCATGTCAAGGACAGCGGGCCAACAAGTATTTGTTCAACGAGTGTACTTTAAACCGATCAAGAATGACGCAGAAGAGGAAAGCTTGGAAGATTCCGGGGCTTGAAATGTCGGGATGACTAAAGGCCTCGGGACGCTTCCAGTTTCCCGGCCCCGGTGCCCACGTTACCCGCATTGCCTATTTATTGTAGAGCGAGGACTATTTTGATCGAACTTGACTAAAGCTTCTTTCAGAAAATATCCAAATCAGACTTCACATGTAAACGCTATCACAAATCTATGCCCTTTCGGCTACTTGTCAGCCTCTTATCTATAAGTCAAACAGCTTCTTCATCTGCTTGATAGTGTCGTCAGGACCAGTAACGGCGTGTCCAATGGTGCGAGGGTCTTCGTAGATCTCATGATCGTTTCCTCCGACGCAAGTCTTGTCGCCGAAGAAGTGGATGGTCTTGTAGTCGACACCCGAGATGCCCTTTTCAGCTTCGACGTGCTGTAGGCAGTAGGTCTTATCCCAACCGGTAGGGAAGACATCGAAAGAGATCTGACCGCCGATAGAGTAGCTATATTAGTAGATTGATTAGTACCATATTAAAAATAAACCTCGCCGGACAAAGACTTACGTGAGGCCGTAGTCGGGGAACTCCTTCCTCAAGGCCTCCACTAGGGTCTTTCTGATGTTGTGGATCTTGTCGAAACTATAGCATAGGTCAGTCAAGCAGTCCATTTATGTGGACATATATAAGATCAGCACGTACGCTTCGAATTCAGCACGCTCGTCGGTGCTAGCAGCACGTCCAACAGGGCTAACATTAACCATTCCATTACGGAACTCAACGAAAGTACCGCGCTTGCGGGGCAACTTAGTGTTGGCAATAAACTTAAGAATGAAATCCACCAGTGTTTGGTATTTGTCCTCCCCAAGCCACTGGATGAAGTTGTTGGTAGCAAGCGGCTTGCCGAGGCGGAATGCGGTCAGGCCGTTTTCGGAGAAGCAGAAATCGAACATAGTGGTGACATCCATGGTGGCTGATCCAAGTTGTTCTTGCTGCTTCACAAGGTTCGAGCCGCCAACCTAAATCAGGTTAGGAACGGGGTAGGTGTATTGATTGGGAGGAGACGAACGTATCCAATAGCGCATTTGTGGCGCAACCGAGAGAGCAACTCGAGCATCTCTGGCGAGGCATGCTGTAATAGAATTCATTAGTATAATTGAACAGCAGGGAGTCTCATTGCAACGTACCCGTCTTGCGGGGGTGAGAGTCTCGTCAACATCGAACAGAACAATCGTGTTCTTCATGGGACGGTCCTCCAACGAGGGGTAAACACTGGTAGCTTCAGTCATTTTGAAGGATTTATTCAATTGAGTCTGCAAAGACCAAAATTGCGGGTTACTCGGGGGTAAATATAGAGAGAGGGGTCCATTTTGGCCGCAAGCGGTGAGTGAAGGCGGAAGCTTAGTTGGGTCCAGAAGCGGAAGGCCACCTGGTCTGTTTCACTGTTTTGGAGAAAATCTTGGTTATTAGAGTAAGTGACTCAATCGGATCATTGATCTAAATCATTGCCGTCCTGGAGTACACCATGTTGTACAGCATTGACAGTGCGACCTAAACCCGTGGACTCTTCTAAGTGCCTGACTGTTATCGATAAGAAACGGAGGGGTCAATTATCAGATCTGAAGGAGTTTGGGAACCTTGGAAAAATCCATGAATGTGCATTTGAGAATATCTAACTACTGGTTATATACTTGAGATATATATTTCCTACTGTACAGTACAAGTGTTATATAGCCAAATAGACATACAGAGTCGGAATGTCCAACCCAACCCAATCCCCACAGAGACCTGTAAGAGCCCAGCTCCCAAATCCAGATTCCGAACACGCAAAATGAAGTATACATACTTAGCGTCCCATAGTGGACTGGAAGACCTTAGCCGCTAGCTCACCCAGGAGCCGCGTCCGATCAGTGTTCGGCAGGTCCAAAAAAGCCTCGTAGACACTTTTGCCCTTAGCATCGCGGACCGCGCCGAGACGATTACCCGCCACAGCGCCAGCCAACGCACCAGGAAAATTGCCAACAATGAAGCCCATAGCACCACCGCTAACACCGCCAACCAGTGCCCAGAATCGCCCGGTTGAGCCAGTTCGGCTGCCGTCTCCCTCCTCGGCGAGACCCTCCTCGCGTAGCATCTCTTCGAAGACGGAGCCAAACTGACTGTTGTCACGTTCATCACGGTTCCCACCGAATCCAAAATCGGACCAGGAGAAACCACCGGTGGGTGGGACATCCGCTTCCTCTTCCGCTGCCCGGGTAGCGTCATATTCCCGGCGGCGTGTCGGGTCTGATAGGGTGAAGTAGGCGTCGTTGATTTCCTGGAACTTTCGTGTGCGTTCGGGTCGCTCTGGTGAGTCGATGGGGACTCGATCGGGGTGGGATTTCAGTGATTCCCTGGGATTGGTTAGAGGGGCATTTCAAAGCTAGTTGTGATGCACTTACCTCTTATATGCACTTCGGATCTGCTGTTGGGTGGCATTCTGGACGATGCCTAGGATTTTGTCTGGTATGTGTTAGTTGGGTCTTAATTAGGCACTTGGAGATCTTACAATAATCGGGAGCTGGTCAAGAGTTAGTATATATTTCGGTAAGAGGGAGTAAATCAACATACTTGACATTGTCACACCTGGTTTTGATTTTGATTTTCAACAGGGAGAATATATTATGCTAAACTAACGCTCGACTCGAAGATGAATTTAAGAGACTATCACATGCAGTGACGTGGTTGTCGCCTAACCCCGTCAGGTACGTACCGTGGTTCAACTGTTTGTTCTATTTGTTTTAAACTACCTCGATCTATATCCTATACTCTGTAGTACTCTATATTACTCTATTCAATTCAAACATGAAATTGAGATGATTATATGGCTATATCTTACTGAAAGTGGATGTCTTGACTATCTGGGGTACTTTGTCTCCTGCAGAATGAGGTTTAAGACTAAGTTCAGCCGACCATACCCCAGCCGCCTTTGTTCCGCCAGGGGTGGTTGATCGGTCTAATATGAGTATCCCTTTTGATTCGCCTGAAATTAGCATCTAGCATTGTCCACAACCCCCTCTTAGAATCCCATTTCTGCCAGCTGTCAAAAGAGATTACCTGCATAGAAAATCCACGAAGCGGCTGCACACATTGGCCTAGGCCTCAGATTGCGCATATCCGCAGCAGCTAGTGGCTGACTTGCATCTGTCTCTTTTCACTCTTCCAATTGCCGCACAGAAGGTTTCAGAGGAGATTATCAGGGGTGTATTGTTACCCAGCAGCATCTCAAACCCGCCTTCCTCTGTACCAACCCAGCGCAATCTCTCTCCTAACACACAACCCGTTCCTCAGACCAGACACCTTATCGTCTGCCCGCATTACCCACAGTCGCACCCGTAACCATCCCCAGCTCCAGCATCAGCATCAGCATCCCACACCAACACAATGGGTTGGTTCGACAGTAAAACCAGCGCAGCTTCGTCGACAGGGTACGCGCGACGCCGGTCATCACCAACGCCCAGCACGCGCAGCAGACGCAGCAAATCCGCCTACTCCTCGACACAACATGCGCGCTCGGCGCCGTCCTTCTTCGGGCTAGGCGGCAGCCGAACAGGCGGCCGATCGAGTCCATCCGTGCTCTCGTCGTTCTCGTCCTCGTCGCGCCGGGCCCGGCCCCGCGAGGGATTCGTGCAGCGCATGATCCGCGACATCAAGCGTCTGTTTCGCGATATCTATCGCTGGGCCCGTCGCAACCCCATGAAGGTCTTTCTGATGATTATCGTGCCGCTTTTGACGAGTGGGGTTCTGCCAAAACTGCTTGCGATGATTGGCATTCGCTTGCCGCATGCTGTGATGAGTGCCCTTGGTGGCGCGCCGAGGCCTCGTGAGGGTATGGGTGGTGGTGAGAGGGGTATGTCGGAGCATATTAGCAGTCTTGTGAGCATTGCCAAGATGTTTGCGTAGGCGACTGTTTTGCTCTGCTCTCTAGGCCTGGGTAGGCTGTTCTGTTTGCGCCCGAGGTTCTTTTTTCTCTCCACGATTTGCAATGCTCTGCTGAAATTCAGCACATGACGATCACGATTATACACCTACTGTCCTTTGCGACTTTTGTCGCTCTTATGCTCCTACTCTTTTTTTTCCCGTTGGGCTTTGCCACTTTGCGATGTTGTCATGAACTGGGAGGCCCGTCTGAATTCGGTAGAATTGATTTCTTAGGAAAAGTTGTTGTTTTTGTATGGGCAATGAAACCTTGAAAATTCGAAACCAGTCTAGAGATACATGAAGTCTCCTATTTATACTAAACCAGTCAGGTGTTGGTGCCCAAGCAGGTGGATATGGCAGCATCAGACAGGTACACCGCACTGTTTGCCAGGGAGTGCACTGGCCCTACGACAGACCCGCCTATAAACCTGCCAAACATAGGTAGATCTTCCTGGCAGACCGATATTTGGGGTGTACTAGTATCTGAAGTATCAAATGGATCTACAGGGACGCAGCACATATTGTACCATGGTAAACAATAGCCAGTGGCTGCGTTATTTGGTCCTGAAGTTTGAGATCTGAGAAAAAAAAAATATGTGTACATTTTGTCTACTTCGGTACTGCCAACATCCGAGCAGAGATTCTATAAAGCAGCCTTGGGGAAATTTTGTGATCAGCCCGGCAAGAAAGTAGCGACTAATGCCCGGTGCAGCAATACAGCTGTCCCGGTCTATCATCGCTGGGAGCGCTTGCCACGCTTCCGAGAGCGGGAATTTGAGGTGGCAGTGGTCTCGGCTTCCTCAACCAAGGGCTCCTCAGCCTCAGAATCCACTTCCTCCTCGGTAGAAGTCCCCAACACCCGACCGACAGTCTTGTTGAAGCACCAGATGGGAAGCGTGCACACCATGGTCTCACGGAGAGTAGGGCGTTCAATCTGATCAATGTCGAGCAGGAACTCCTGGCGCTCGCCAGCCTCGTTTTGCTCTTCCAAGAACACATTGCCAATAGAATCGACAATCAGCGTCTTTCCATTCTCAGCAACGACGCGCTTCCGCTCGCCAGTGCTGGCAGTCTGCTCGGCAGGGGTGGAGGCATCAGGGGCACGAGCGCTCACACGGACTCCTCCTCCCTTCTTATCCTTCTTGTTCTCCTTGTCCATCATGCGCTTCTGGCGACGGTTGACAGCCACGGCACCGACGTCGCCGGATTCGGGGGCAGGAGGGGGAGGCGCTGCGGCGACCGACTCGATTCCGGGGATACCACGAACGCCCAATTCATCGCCCCAGGCGGCTCGGCGGGCCTGGCGAATGTAGCGATCGACAAACTCGCGCTGCCGCTTCCAGCTAAGGATCAACGCGGCGTAGTGAGCACCACCACCGAAGACCAGGAATAGACCCACCAGCACAGAGCCCAGACCAGGACGGAAGCGCGAGTAGTAGTATCCGGTACCTTTCCACAGGGGGAAGCCATTCTTGAGGAAGTGGTCATAACGCTGACGGTTCGGGCCGCGCAGGACGTTGGCGACGAGGTTCAGACGAGCGGAGCGGGCATCGGCGTTCTTGACTGCAGCGTCAATCTCGCGCTGGGTAGGACCCTTGTTGACATTGACCCCCTGGTTGGACTTGGCCTTGTTCTTGTCCTTGGCGTAGTTGGCAATGAAAGCGCGCTTGACCTTGTCCGGGTGGATGGTTCTAGACTTTTTGCGGTAGGCCTTGGTGATTTGGTCTTGATTGGCATTGGGACGGATCTCGAGGAGGTCTGCAGTGCGGGTACCGAGTTAGATACGTATGCCTCAAAGGAGTCAAAAATGGAAAAGAAAGAAAAGTAAGCAAAGCTAGAGACGACACATACCGTAAAAAGTCACATTGGCACCTTCATTGGTGGCCACATCATTTTGTAGACCAAAGATCTCGTAGTCTGTTCTAGGTCAGTAGGGAGGGTTGGTCCGGGGTAAACAATACCCACCTTCTTTGGACCAAGCAGCGACGAGGCCGAAGAAGACGAAGAGCGAGAGAAAAGCAAATGGCTTCATGATTGACAGCGGTCAATGCCGCAGAAGCAGAAGTATAGAAATAAACGAATAAGCTGAGTGTTAGTGGAGGACATGTAGGAAAAAAAGCGGTCGGGCGTTTATCCACCGAACCCCAACGTGGCCCCAATGGCGATGTTTTTGCTTGGACAAGTCCAGTTGGGCTCATGGATTATTGCATCTGAGCTCACTTTGTACAGAGTACGGAGATGGTATATATAGAGGGATAGAGGGATCTAGATTCTATGTAGTGTTTTCTCTTCTCCAGAAGACATCCTAGGAATAACCTCAGGGACCCAATACTATTATTAGTAGGGAGTCCCTGACTAGCTATTCCATCTTACTCGATGACTCCTGGCCTAAAACTAAAACACGAAAGGGGAAAAGGCCAAGAAAGGAAAAAGTGATTGCCTTCTCTGTTGTTTCCGGCTTCTCTCTTTCCTCTCTCCACTATACACATCACTTTTGTTACCTGTCCCATTTCCCAAGCTTTCTTATTCTCCTCTTCTTCCCTTCTCCCCTTCTCGACCCCTTCTTCATTCAAAATGGTCTCTATCCCAATTGATGCGATCACCTCGCGTTTTGGCGATCGTCTCAACAACTTTCGCAGCACCTCTTTAACCACCCGTTTCGCCAACCTGCGCCCGATCTCCGAGTTCCTCGACGTCAAGCGCCTATCCAAGCCTGCCAACTTCGGTGAAGCGCAGAGTCGCGTCAATTACAATCTGTCCTACTTCTCCAGCAATTATGCCGTCGTGTTTGTGATGCTCAGCATCTACAGCTTGCTGACCAACCTGGTGCTGCTGTTCGACATGATCTTCATCAGCTGTGGTATCTACGGAATCAACATGCTGCAGGGTCGGGATCTGGATCTCGGCTTCTCTCGCTTCACCACTTCGCAGCTCTACACCGGACTACTCATCATCGGTGTCCCTATCGGCATCTGGGCCTCCCCCTTCACAACGGCCCTGTGGTTGATTGGCGCGACCGGCGTGACCGTTTTCGGCCACGCCGCATTTTTGGATAAGCCCATCGAGAATGCTTTTTCCGAGGAGGCGGTCTAGGTGGTCGGCCGCGAGCTCCTTTTGATATGCCCTCATGGGGAAGACCACCGGGGGCACGAATGGGGAGAAATACTAGGGGACGCGCGGCGTGGGAGGAGACTCGGCTGGAGGAGGTGGATAGTGAGGAGGATGCATACGGGCGGGAGTTGGTGCGGAGCGGTCGCTACAGGGAGTATGGAGGACGAGGGCTGCGGAGGCGACCTGTGGATTACGAGGATCTGACGGATGAATCTGAAGTTGATGGGGGAGAATTCGATCTATACGACCATGAGGATAGCACGGTGGCCTATGCGATTCAGTTGGCCATGCGGGACAAGGAAGATCAATTGGTGGACACGGCGCTCGAGCGAATTCGTCGCGCCCAAGTTCTGGGGAAGAAAAATGTCCGGCTGTCGAAACCCGAACTGGATGCCTTGGAGCGCAAGCGCCAGCAAGCGGACGGTTTAAGCGGAAGCCGACGCCCATCCACCAGTTCTGTCAAAGTGACGTCGCGCCCATCGTCCCGACGGAGTGCAGTTGTTGCACCAGAGCAGATGTCCGGCGCGTATCCCACCTTTGCTGATGCACACAGTATCTGGGCTCGTGGGACGGGCGCGAATAGCCGACCGTCTAGCTCATCTTCTGCTCCCCGTCCCGGGACTCCAACGACTCAATCTCTTCGTCCACAGCAGTCCAGTTCACCTCTTCGACCGACCTACCCGCCATACACTCCCGAGCGCTTTGCCCCCAATGGCCGACCACAGTCGATGCAACAACCGCCTGTGTTCCAACGGCCACTGCCAGACGATCCTCAATGGGCCCCGCCTTACTACAATACAATGCAGATGAGCGCATACGGCGAACCCGCGGCATACCCACCGCAGGCTGCCACCGCCGGACAGCGAATGAATTACCCTTCTGGCTCTGTATACCCATCTTATCAATCTCAATCCCCGGGCAAACGCTCACTGCAAGGCACACCACAGGCTCGGAGCGACCCAGCTCCAGCACCAGCTCCAGCTCCAGCTCCATCCAAATTGGGGTCAGAGGAATCCAGTGAAGAATCGGAGAGCAGCTCAGAGGATGAAGTGCAGATCGTCAAGGTGGCCAAGGTGGCGGAGCGCAAGGCCCCGCCTGCTGCAGTTGCGCAGAGGCGGCCAGTTACTGGAACCACGCGTAAACGGACCAGTCGATGAAGTGGCTCAGCGTTGTTCTGATATCCTCTCAATTTCACTTTCTGTCTGAGTTTTTTTCTTCAGTGTTTTTTTTTCGATTCCATCATTGCGGTCTTTCCGTACCGCGACGGCGTTTGAGGTAGACCGGTCTTAGGCTACAATATTATTTCCTGGCTCATTTGATGTCCACGTATCTTGTAGGGTTTAACATGAGTAGACCGATGCAGCATTTCTGAAATGTTTCAACATGCTATTCTCGGAGTATCAGCCCCCAAAGGCTCTAGTACCTGGTATTGCCAAGTATTCAGCCACCCGGGTTACCCGTAGATCGTGTGCCAACCTTGGATCATTCATATCACTCCCAAAGGTCTTAAAAGGTACGATGTAGGCTCTTATATAACTAGGGCAAGTACAATATAACCATTGCAGTAAATCTTGGAGCAGATCATTCATAATGAGGCTGTGGGGGCGCACAAATTTCATACCTTGGCAGCCCACGATATGACGTCGCTTTCACAATCTCCAGGTTTTAGGGGAGCCTAAAGAAAAATAAATAACAGCTTGAACCATTTCTGTCTTTCGCAACTGCTTCTCCTTTCAGGGTATCTAGGAATCCACTATACCACAATAAATAGATATTCCCCTTGCGCATCATCGTTGACCCGGTTCCAATTCGATATCCCTTTGTCATCTAAGCGCCACTGTCGCCCCTTAAGACCTGGAATGCTGTATTCC